CAGAACCACGAGGTATTCCTACCAAATGATCCACCCGTTGCGCGGGGGGGGGCAGGAGAGAGGACATGTGCCCCCGCTTCAAGCAGTAATCTTTAAAAGCGCATCTTAAAGCCTTAACGGGTGTTCCAGGAAACTAAGTATACACAGTCAGAAGTTGTTAACTGGCCCACGTACATACTGATGTATACCGCGATCAAAAATTAATCGCTAAGGAAATTTAAAAAGTGGAACTTTCAAAACTGGTGTATTAACCAGAAAGCAAACAGGGAAAGCTGGGGGAACCACGGATGAGCCAGACCCCTCCCAGCTGTGTCAAGCAGCGGCAGGATACCGGCGAAACATGTGCCTAGGCCTTTTAGCTAGTACCTGGGCTGTTAGTATGATAAGTTACATCTGTCCGTTGGCGGCAGGTGTAGATTACTCAGTGGCTGACGGGTTTTAGCCCAAATGTGCACTTACAATTTCGATCTTTGCCAATAAACCTTAAATAAAATGATGTATACCGCGAACAGAAATTAATTTCTAAGGAGATCAAAAAAGCTGAACTTCCAAAACCGGTATATCGACCAGAAAGCAAACAGAGAAAGCTGGCGCGCTTCCACTCACATTCTTACCATCACCCTCGACTACAACAATACCCGGCCTGCCGGGCAGACAACAGCCCCGTAGGTGCAGTTCTCTGGCCCATTCGACGATGACCTTGCGTTTTTTGGGATTGCGAATGTGGTGACTCAGTATCCACAGGCGGATATCGCCATCGTCATTGGAGGCGGGGGCAGGCAGTTCGGTTGGCAGTTCTGTTGGTGACTGCGAGATAGGGGTGGTGGTGGTGATGACGTTGGAAAGGGCCGAACGCAGCCAATCAGCGGCTGCACAGATAACTGGCTCACCAGACGTGGACTCTTCAGCGAGCCAGGCGTAAAATCTGGAGGAGAGTCGGCGATCGTCTATCGCAACCGAGTTGGCAGGCTGTTCAATGCGTAGGACAATCAACGGTGGGATGTCGACTGAGGGATATCCCACCGGTAGCGTCACTGACAACACAGCGCTCACGGGTGGCTAGGTAAAATGGCAGTATAGGAGAGTATACAAAACCGTCGATTCATAAGCAAGGACAGAAAAACAGCTTCAAAGGCAACTGCATAACTGAAAAGGCAGAAAGCAGCAGAATATCAGGTGGAATCCTACTCTAGGTCTCAGAAATTGGTTAAAAAATCTAATTTTATCGCAACAAAATGCTACGTCACAAATAAACACAGAAACTTACTTACATTTATTACTGACTCATAGTTTATTGAGTGTGACAGATTTGAACATTTTTCACTTATTTGTACTTTACAGTTTACTGGGTTTCTTGATATTCCTGAAAAGAAAAACTGCTGTTTAGGAGGTCAGCTACTTACCGTTCTGGTGTTAGATTAATATAGTTCGTGGCGCCAAGCGCCGCGCACACCTCCAATTTACATGCTCAAAAACTTTACGTTACCTTATTTTATTTGGTTTATTTAACTAAATTACATTAAAGTTCAGTTTTCAGTTCATTATTACATCCACTGGAACGACAAAGGGAGAAAGTGAAGAGTTAGTTTAGCTCTTATACTTGTTACGGCTGTGATCATGCCTGATCTAGCCGGCCTCAGTGATGTCACTGACGGTACGCCTCCACGCGTGAGGATTGGCGGCAGCGGATCCGGAAAGCTCCACTCAGTCTCTTCGCTAACGACGGAGACCAAAGATAAAAGGCTCAAGAACTGCTTCACTTTCTTGACGGACGGTGTCGAGCCAAGTCTTCAGTTGCCC